CCAGGGGGTTAATGGGGGGAAAGGGGGTTAATGGGGGAGAGATACTCCATGGGCACCCAGAAGGGGGGGCCCATCCCATCCGCACCAGCAGCCCCGTCAGTGTCGTTATCCAGGGGACAACAGTGGGGAGACACCCCACAGAACCACCAAAAGACCAGGGGTCTCTGCCCCAGCCAGGCACCTCCATTCCATGTCTCTCTCCAACAGAGGGAGCCTCAGGTGCCCCGCAGGGCAAAGGTGGCCTGGAGAGGGAGGAAAGGGGACAGTGGTGCCAAAGACCCCCACAGATCCCTGGAAGGCCAAAGGGTGCCCTGGGTCCCTGCCCCAGAGCAGGATCCCTGTCCCCTCTCTCCACAAGAACCCCAGGTGCCCCCGGTGTCCTGGCCCAGAGCAAAGGTGGTTTGCAGAGCAGGACAGGGGCCATGAGGGTGTCCTGGGCTGGGGCACACGTGGGACCCCCAAGCACCAGCCCCTGGGAGGACCTGGCACCCATCCCCGGCCTGGGGGCACAGTAGGACCTCCAAATGCAACCCCCCAGCACCAAAACAGCACCACCCAGCCAGGGCACGGCCCGGCCGGAGCCACCACGTCCCCGTGTCCCCACGTCCGTCACCTCCTCGGAGCCGGAGCCGAAGATGAGCAGGTCGAAGGGGATGGCGGCCACCATGTCGATGAGGAACCAGCCCTTGAAGTAGTGGATGGCGATCTTGGCGGGGTGGCTGACCACCTCCTCGTTGGAGTTGACGTAGGTGGTGCGGAAGTTGATGAGGATGTCGATGATGAACATGATGTCCACGATGAGGTCCACCACGTTGAGGGGGCTGCAGGAGTAGCCGCAGTGGTGCCGCTGGGCCTCCTCGGAGTCGCTGAGCAGGAAGGCGGCCGAGTAGGGCGTGAAGATGGCCGTGTAGATGACGAGCAGCAGGATCAGCCAGTCCCACACGGCCTTGAAGGGGCTGTAGTGCAGGATGGTCCAGCGGTGGATGCGCGGCGCCTGCAGCTTGTACTCGGGGAGCACGTCGGCGCCCAGCGACAGCACCTGGGGGCACGGGGGGGTCAGTGCTGCACCCCCCCACCCCACAGGGCTCCGCTCCCCGGCCCAGGTAGAGGTGGCACTTGGAGATGAGGGTCAGGGGTGGCCTTGGCCACGCTGGGTGAACATTGGGCACGGTGGTGTTAAAATGAACAGTTTTGTAACTCTCTGGGGTGCAGAGGGACCCCAGCGCAGAGGGACCCCCGTGTGAGCCACAAGGGGTGCACGGGGGCCCTGACATGGGTGATGTGGGGTGAAGGGGAGTGGCTGGAGAGCACAGTTGGGACAAAGGCACCCCAACACCGAGTCACCCCACAAACCCCTTCTGCCCCACAGACACTGTTGGGGCACTTTCGAGACACTTCCCACCCCAAACACCCACAGACACGACTCTGTCCTGTGCCCCTCACCCTGTGCCACCCCCCGTGCCCCTCAACCTGCCCCACTCCCAACATCTCCATCTGGGGGGGGCACAGACGCCCCCCAGCATCTCCATCAGGAGAGCATAAATCCCCCCCCAGCCACCCTCACCATCTCCACTGGAGGGCACGGACCCCCTGTGCCCCCCATTCCCTGTGCAGGACACCTGGCACAGCCCTTGGGTGTGACCCCAGGGGTCCCTGGGCATTCTGGGGGGTCCCTGGGGGGGTCCCTCCCCTCCCTGCCACCACAGAGACTGTCACCATGTGCAGCCCCACGGTTCAGG